TTAGAGCACATTCTGGTTGGTTATAGTAGCCTCTGCTTTCCTGTGAGAAGAAAGAACTGGGTTTATAAGCCCTCTGACTTCCCCAAAGATTCAGTGATGGGATTCTATGAGCTAAGATAGATGCAGGAACCCAAGATGGGTCTCATAGTGATCAGATATTCTTTCATCCTCCTAGGATCTTTTTCTGAAAGAGACACATAAGCCAGTAGTTTGTCTGCTGAACTATATTTCTTGCTCTGTGTAGATCTGAGATTTTTCTAAGTGAAAAATACAGAAGAGAAGATACACAGGCTATTTTTCCATTAAGTCATCAAGTAATGTGATATTTGACATCTAGATAGTTTGTGAATACTGCCTTTTATAGTTTAATTCAAAGTCATTCTGTCCAATGTCATTCATTTACAAAAGAGGAAACTACTACAGTCTGAGTAGGTCAAATAAATTTGTCCAAGATTAAACAACTACTGTCAGAGCTGAGACGAGGACTCAGGCTTCTTGCAATTTATAATATTAAATAACTTTTTCATTGAGATAATTTGACTACAAAAAGTACAGAAAAAAGTCATTAAGATCCCAATCAATGGATTTATGAAAGAGCAATACACCTACAAAATGAATGATGGCTGTTCCATAAAAATAAAACAATTTTGGGAGAAGGAAAGAATGGTTTGGGTTTATCTATTTCAAAGTGTCATCTACTTTCATTTTTATATAACCATATTTATCTACTATTATTTGACCTAAAGACAGCTTTTGTGTGTTCATGGAGAATTGTGACAAAAGATTAAGATGTAATTGTTTCAACATAAGATTTTAAAGGAGAAGGAAAGAATGGTTTTGGTTTATCTATTTCAAAGTGTCATCTACTTTCATTTTTATATAATCATATTTATCTACTATTATTTGACCTAAAAGCAGCTTTGGTGTGTTCATGGAGAATTGTGACAAAAGATTAAGATGTAATTGTTTCAACATAAGATTTTAAAATTGCATGATTCACCTGCATCCTTTATTAGAATAGTTGCTGTCTTGACCTTTGTTTTCTGAAGTTTCATAGTTTTCAATTCTAAACATTAAAAAAGTCAAATAATAGTATGTATACATACTCATGAAAAAATATTAAAGTGTTATATGGACAATTAAGAATGTCAATATGGAGAAAATATTTTCACAGAAAACTTATACCAACAGATATCTAATTTTGATATTAGACTATAAAAAAGTGGAAATTCTGGGTTTTTTTTTTAAAGGGAAAATTATAGTAATCACACAAATAGTTCTCTGAAAGTATTGTATAACATTACCTACCTGCTTTTTTGAGAGATTTGTTCCAGTTTCTTGGATAATGTACAGCACTCTTCCTTTAACTTTATCAAAAATGTATTCTGGGAGGTCAGCAATGAATATTGTTCATTTTCTAAAAATAACAATAAAGCCCCACAAACGTAAGATGTTTATGGCTGTAGCTCTGCAGTGCTTCCATACATAGAGTGGTAAAGTGCTTAGACCACTACACATTTCCTGCAAGCTACTAGGTCACTTTCAGTGCCCTAAGTCAAAGGACGAATCATCTAGCAAGATACTAACTATTCCGAAACATTTATTTTCATAATAATTACACACCAGAAAGATTTTTGATCATATCAGCTTAGTGTAATGTTTTAACGTGTTAGTAAATGGTCAGATACCTCAAATGGAGTCATAGATGCCTTTATCTTTGTACTATGAAAGATGTTATATTTTTACTTCAACAATTTTATTATAAACAGAGTGTCAAAAATTCACATCACCAGATAACTGAAAGCTAAAATCATTGAGGAACACTCTTCTACACTGTAATTCATGCTTCATGTTTCATATTTGCACAGTTTACTACCACCTCCATCTTGCACACATACTTCTCTGATTATGAAGGTGAAATACATAATTTTCCTCAGAATTTTGATTTTATTGTCAACAGCATGAGACTTGATGAAGATTTACTTTAAAAAAACTGAAAAGATTGTGATTTTTTTGTGTGCATGCAAAATAAAAGGAACTGTTCTTAGGGTGGTTTTAACAGTTGATCAGTGCTCAGATTCTGCTTTGATTGCTAGGATCCTGCTAGCTGTGGAGTCAAACAATAATTTATCCCATCACTTCCGCTTTTTTAGTGGAAAAACATCTACTAAATTTGGTGAATATTCATTTCTTCTAGCCAAACACTGATAGAAGAAAATCTCTATAAAAAGTGCTGGAGGAAATTACGTAAGTCTATATGATATTTGCCTCTTTTTAAGTAAATAGATTAATACATTTCATGTTAGCAATTTTTCACCTATAGGATAAGAAATAACTTGTTACAGTGTCATTAAATACAATATATATTAAATCATGTGAAAATTACCTCTAAGTATAAGTTTTAATGAGCCCTTTATTTCTTTTCAATTTTAGCTAATGATTGGCAAAAAGCATAAAGCAATACAATAAATCAAGGCTCTAAAATTAAGCAACATTTCTCTGGAAGAGATAGGATCAATTAAACTTTTGTTTTAATAGTACAATCGGTATGGAGTATGTGGTGTGGAATTATAATGACTGATACTGTCTTGTTTTGACTAACACTCTGTGAACACACAACTCAAAAGTGAAAGGAACTACATAATGCTTCGGCTGAACAAATCAAACTGCCTATTTTCAAAGTGCATTTTACTTTCAAATTAAAGGTAAAGAGTTACTGGCCAACTCAGTCTGTAGAATAGTGCCAACGTGATGAAAGATGGCAATTTTTAGCCAAGCTGCCAGCTGTGGTCAATGCCTTGTATTAGTGAATTTTAACAGCAGTGTGAGAACTTGAAGAATGTAAAGGATTAAACATCACTCTAGACTGGGTTGGGGGAGGTGGGGAAATCATACAAATGCTAAAAATGTTCGAAGCTGCAAAGATTAAATAAAGGAACATATCAATTTGGAGCCACTGAATTACATCCAGCTGCGACAGTGAATTAAGAACCGATTAATGGCTAAAGCTTTTCTCCAGTTTGGATGCTGAAGCAAACTCATTAGGCTTTTAGAGTAGCTATAATGTGTGTACTGTGGGAACTGTTCAATGCTATTCAGGAGACTCTAACTGTAAGCTCAGAGCATTTCCCGCAGAGCTTCTGATGCTATTTTCTTTATATAACATGTGTGCCTGCAAACCTAGCCAAAAACAAGCCCTTTGTTTTTCTACTTTGTTGTGGTCTCTCTCAGCTTTACGTTTCTTGAACACAGGTAAATAAACTCATAATCCAGATGGTGCAACAGATGTGAGAGCAGCACTCTGAAATCAACAGACAGTGGGCAATACTTTCCATTTTCTCTTTTAAACGCTAACTAATATGTAATTCGGAATCTCCGGTGTAGTTAGCATCTGCTCCCTTCGGCCAGCCAAAGGTTACAGGTGTTCCTGATGTCATTTCACAGTAAGGCGTGGGCCCGGCTTGTGAGCCAGTGCCCAGGCTTTAATCTTTCCCCACCACCTACCAGTTTTGTCATGCTGGGCCTCCATTTGCTGTATCTTCTGTGTCAGCTCCTGCTCTCTTCGCTGGGCCTGAAGGGCTTGGGCCTTTGCTTCGTTGCTGAAGCTCTGCTGAATGGTATCTTTTTCCAGTCTACAAAACAGGGCGAAGATATACAGAAATTTAATCTGCGGATACACAAAACTCCATCATTTCCCCTACAGACCACAGAGAGCTGAGATGTAGTAAATTGTTAAGCATAAGAAGACAACAGTCTTTCTCCAGATCTCCCCTTTAGGGGGAAAAATCCAAGGGACCCTTCATACAATGTTAAAAACATGCCATAAATCGAAAGGGACTAAAGTACACAGCTTTAAAAATCAACATATTATGACAACTAAGTAATAGTATTTTGTAACCTTTTTCTGTAACATTCTTAATGTTTTGCACTACCAATTAATCTTTCACATTCTGAACGGTCAATATTTTGTGAAGAACCTAGGACTCTAGGAACAACATGACTTAATTCATAATTTAAGCGAAACTTAAATTCTTGGAATTAAGCTTTGTAGACCACCTTTGTCTTTCCTCTGAAACTTAAAATGGAATCTCAAATATAACATAAGAGACTCTATCTAGAAGCAAGTAAATGACTCTGTAGTACCACATGCATGTTTTCATTAAATATTTTCACACAAGGCCATATAATGTGAATATAAATATGAATATAAAAATAAGTAACCTCCCCCAGAACTTCATGACAAAATCCCTCTTGAGTGATGCTGAAAGAAATTCCAGGATGAAAATCTTCCATAGTCAAAGACAACATCCCATCCCATCCCACTGTGACAGGATATCGTCCCATCCCATTGCGTCAATATCCAATGATAGTGGGTCATAAAGAGAGAAATTTTCTAAATAGTTAGAGCCTGAGAAATGCAACGGACCTCGTCACTGGCAGCACTGTGGATACTGACACTGTGTGTGCAAGCGCACACATACACGTACACACACATTAGGTTAGTTCTTCAAACTCTAAATACAAGTAAGTGATGTGAGGGTTTCCTTTAATTAACTGACTTAGTCATTTCTAACTCCTGATCTCCTTGTGGGCATTTCTCATCCATGCTGCTTTAGTTTACTAATTGAGATATTTACTGCCTAGCCTTTGCCAAACTAAAAATAAACAATTCCATAAAGCTATCACTACTAGTCAATGTACCGCTGTGGAACTTCAACTCACTGGCTTCTAATTATAAAGCAACATAAGGGAAGCCTGTATTGAAATTGGTCAATGCATGTGGTAATGTTGTAGTGTAAAACTCCGGAGTGAAGATACACCCACACTTCACTCTAATGGAATCATCGGGGGTCCATGCTAAATGTGAAATAAGCTCCCTTTTAGTACTTCTAATAACAACAGCGCCCTGGATGTGGTCCAAGGTCTTACCTCATACTCAGTTCCAAACCGGTATATTGTAACAAACTGATAGTCAGACTAGGCTACTTTTTGCCTCCCCAGTCACACCACATATTTTCTGGCCATGATCACTGCACATGTCTCTTCCTCTTCCTGGAATGACCCCCACCCACCCAATCCCCCTTGCATGACACTACTCCTGTAAGGCCTAGCTCAAAATTCTTCCCCTTTCCTTCCTCTCTCCCCCAAATTAACTCTTCTTTCATCAGTTACCTCAGTATATGTTGTATACGGATGTATACAAAGACAGCATTTATCACATGTTAGTTATTGGTACTAGCTTAGAGCCTAGCTTAGTGCTTGGCATACAGGAAGTGGGCAGTGAAAGTTTAATGACTGGATGTTCTTACACCCTTGCTATAGAGGGGAGGAAGTCTGCAGTCTTTAAGTGTAGCTGGTGAATCTGCTCAAGTCTTACTTGAGAAGGCCAAAACTTTTCAGGCGTGTTAGAAAAGAGTGGCTGGAAGAGAAAGGCTCTAATGGCTTTGTCAGATGGAAATTATGCTGCTGAACTAATCAGCTTAAAAAGAGCCCCATGGACTCTTTCACTGAGTAACCATCCCCAAGTCAGACCCCTAGCTAGAGCAGGGAATATTGGTAGGGAGACCTAGGGCTCTGCAATCCCTAATCATTGGGTGACCATAAAATGCATTGCCCCAAACCAATATCCATTTGAGAATAAAAGGGGGAATTATTAATAATTATACAAAGATAATAGTTATAACTGAGACTACTCATTGCAAACTGAGATTTACAGTTCCTCAGTGTAAAGGGGTTTCCAGTTTCACCATCAATTTTTAGAATGAAAAGCTGCCTAATTACTGATAATTACTGATATTCTAAATTGACTACAGAAAACAACTACTGTTTTAATTGTAGTTCTCCGTATAAAATAAAACAATTTAAAAGAACTCTACCGACAAATGTTGAGTTACAATTTATGTTTCTTGAATCCTTCCCCAACTTTCACTCTATCTGAGAAACCACACATGTTCTTTTTCGTTGCATGAAAACATGACATATTCTTGCTTTACTATCTCCACCCCCTCCACCTTTCCTCCTATGTTGCCCTCTTCTCTTGCAGGTTCTTTGTGACTTGGTAGGCTTTTTATAAAACCTCAGAATGTTAGAACTGAAAGGGAACTTCAACTTTGTTTCAGGCAAACCCTCTCAATTTATAGCTGAAAAAAGAAAATACAAAAAAACCTCAGAGCCATAAGGAATTTGAAATCTGCTCATAGGTTACATTGTGAATGATTTAAAGGCAGAGGTAGAATTAAAAAGTATTTTTATTCAGGAAACCTGTCTTATAACACTCTAGAGGTAATGCAATATTAGATTGAAAGGAACCAAATTAATAAAAAACCACTTAGGTATCCAAGGAAGGGACTAGAAAAGAATCCAAATCAATTCATTAAATATCTACCATAATTCTAATAGGTGAAAGATGTTCTGCGAGGCACTGGATCAAATAAAAATAAGTAAGGCACAGTCCTTGCCCCTAATAGGGAGTTCAAAATGGCCCAAAAGAAGGTAGATGGTAATATACTACATAAGAAAGGTTCACGGAAAAAAAACTAACAAGGCATAGAAAAATGAGAGGTTAATTCCAGCTGTATGTGAGAGCTTCATGTAAGATAACTAAGCCAGCCTCCCCCCAAATGCTGGTGAGGATGTGGAAAAAGGGGAATGCACATACACTGTTGGTGGCACTGTAAAATGGTGTAGCCATTATGGAAAGTGGTATGGAGGTTCCTCAAACAACTACAGATAGAACTGCCATATGACCCAGCTATCCCACTGCTGAGTATACACCCAAGGGAATGGAAATCATCGTGTCAAAGGGACACCTGCACTCCTATGTTTATTGCAATGCTATTTACAGTAGCCAAGAGTGGGAACCAGCCCAAATGCCCATCATCAGATGAGTGGATAAGGAAAATGTGGTATATTTATACAATGGTATACTACTCTGCCATTAAAAAGAGTGAGATACTGACATTCGCAGCAACATGGATGAACTTAGAGAAGATTACCTTAAGTGGAGCAAGCCAGACACAGAAAGAGAAATACCACTTGTCCTCACTTATACGTGGGAGCTAATAAAAATAAACAAACAAATATATAAAAAAAGGAAAAAAAAGATATAACAATCATAGTGACACATTGAACTTTTTAAGAGAAGAGAACAGAACTGATGTTGCCAGGGGTGGGAAAGGGAGGATTAGGTAAAGGGCCATGAAAATCAATTACACTGTATAATGATGAATATGCTAATTATCCCAATTTGAACTTTTTAAGAGAAGAGAACAGAACTGATGTTGCCAGGGGTGGGAAAGGGAGGAATAGGTAAAGGGCCATGAAAATCAATTACACTGTATAATGATGAATATGCTAATTATCCCAATTTGAACATCAGTAAATAAATAATGAATTACAAAAAAGAATAAAATTGGTGACCTTTATTATATTTAAATCTACCTCAATAAAGCTGATTTTAAATAGGAGAAAATGTTTTAGAAGAGGAACATTCATCTTTATTCTCCGAGTTATCCACATCACCTGTAATCTGTGCATGTGTGGGCCATGTCAATGTTTTCTTGATAAAAACTCAGAATTGAAAAGATTGAACAAATACGGGATGGGCCTCAAACATAGACTAAGACTACATGGAGGCTTAGTCACTCCCTTTTTCCAATTATAGTTCTGGCTGATCGTATTTCTAAAAAATGGTTGCAGTGATATTTACTACCCCATTTTTAAAAAATGAGACTGAAGAATTAACTTACATTTCTGATCCTCAACTTTTTCATATCATTTACTTTAAATCTTGTTATGTTAAAAATGTCCATGTCACAGAGCAAAAATGACTTGTTAAATAGATTTTTTTTAAAGTACCTTTTCAACTTTACACCTAATTGAGGGACCAAGAGTTTCTGATGATCCTAAAGTTCCACAACGTGTCTGGGACAGAAACGATGAAAGCCTGAAGTCTGAGAACAAGAACTGGTGGTGGCAGTGACTGAGGCACCAATCCCATCCATCATGTTCCTGTTCACCTTTGTACTAATGTCTGAAGTTCTAGTGCTAGACATGCAACCCTCTTGGATAAAAGGTGCTTCCCTTTTAAAGTACAATATAGAGAGCTTTGTGACCGTAGCATATTGGTGTGACAAAACTTGTGAGAATATTTACAACATGCTTACTAACTGAAAGCCATTCTTGAAGAATCAGCAGGGAGGTTCTGGTTGCTGTCGAGAGTGCAGACACATAATGTCCATTTGTACTAATATTGGTGATACATCAGCTTTGATCACTCAGTTAATGTCATCGGCATGATGGAAAATGTTTAATAACTGGTCAGGGGTGGGGGCAGAAATCCCTCATTTATTGTGTATACCAATTTTCAGTGTAGATACTTCCTGTTTGAAGCTACCAAAGTGATATCACTGAACACCAGGTTGGGAAGAAATACACACAATCAGCTGTCATGAGTTGGTACGAGCCAGTCCCAGGACACCACTGTTTAGGTAGCTCTCCCAGGCTTCTCTGCTGTCAAGTTACTGTTTTCCCTTTGTAATTAATAGGTAATTTGATGGTAGATGCTGAGACTATGCAAAAATATCCTGTTCTCATTAGACTCTCACCTACTAATTTTACATGCAACTATGAC